TGTTCATGGAGTTTGGATTTGACAAAAATGGCGGCTAAAATTTGATCTACATAAGATATGAGCGACTGCACTAAAGCAATAGACGGAAGTGGTGGTAATTGAACAAATTGGAAGTGGAATTCTTCCATAATAATATAAAATCGCTTTACATTTGATGTCCAATTGTCATCAATAACTGAAGTACGAAAAATTTTTTTTATAATTTTTTTAAATTTGTACAAAAATCGCATATTTTTATAAAGTTTAAGAAGAATTGATGGTCTTTTTATCTCATGGTGTCCTTTGGATTGTCTTGATGGTATGGTTTTGTCAGCAGCTTTGATGATGCATTCTTGTAATAAGTCCCAATAACGGTTCAACTTATTTTGATCGAAAATAGTATGGTTGTTAAGGGATCTCAGAGCACAACCTTTAGTTAATGCATCTGTTTTGTCACTAAATTGAATCCAAAGTTCTGTGGTCATTTTATCGAAGTTGAAGGTCTTCTTCAGAGGTATCTTCCGCTTGTTTTGTTTGATATCGAGAAAATTTTCGCATTTGAGTATAACAATCGAATGATCTGATAAAGTTGAAGGAACATCTATTGTAGAACATTTAAGAAGGTGAGAAGCTATATCAACTGTAGACCATACGTAATCTATGCGTGAAGTCGCATTATGGGACCGAAAAGTAGGATAATTAATGCGTAGTCTATCGTATATTATTGTGCAGGAGTCAAAAAGATTCATATTTTGAATCGTTTCGAAAAAATTTTTGTTGATTCTAGCGAGGTTGGGTTTATCTAGGTCTGCGTTAAAGTCACCCAAAAGAAGAATATGAAAGTTATCTGAGATTGCTGAACGTAACATTTTGTATAATTCACTATAGACTTGTCTTTTTGTATCAAGATCAGCTGGCGATATATAACAATTAATAATTCACAATTTTTGTTTGTTTGAGAACTGGAGGTCTATTAAGATAATGCGGTTTAAATAAGATTTATGGTGAAATATGTGGTTGGCGAGTTGTGGAGTAAGCAAAAGGCCGACACCGAAACCGATAGTTTGCGTGTTGTTATGTGGTTGTTTACCAAAAAAACTAACATATTTGTAAGCGAAATTTGAATAAAAAGGGGATATATTGTTTTTCGAAAAGTTAGTTTCTTGTAAGCCTATTACGTCGATATTCAGTGAAGAATAGAATTCAACGAGTGTGTGTTGTTTTGCAGGATTGGTAAAAGAATGAACGTTGTGTATTGCAAAAGAAAGGAATGGGAGTTGAGAAATATTATTATTAAGTATATCAGATTGTGCAGCTAATGCATCATCAATGGTAGTGACAGTATTTATATTATCGATTATTGAGAGGAGTTCCTGGAGTACAACTCCATTTCTTGGTCATACTGAGTACCCAGTGCCAAAATCGTATTAGCCTGATTTTTGGGAAGGAGATCACGTTCAATCAAAATGGATTGAAAGGAGGTGCAAGATTTACCAAAGTGTTAACTATAGAGGTTACCGATTTAAGGCAATTATTTTGCATTTGATTGATAGATCAGAGGTCTTCAATCGTTTTTTGTTGTTTGAAGATAAGTGATGCTGAAGTATCAATAGTTGCCTTGATATCTTCATCCATTTCATACGCATTAAGATTTTTGCACTCGGCTTCAATCGGGGTGATCACCTTGACGTTCAAGGCTTGTTCAATTGATTCAACTCTTTTGACAGTAAATGCGAG